GAGCGGAGTTCCTTCGAAAGGTTGGAGCGCACTTTTAAAAAAATTTGTCAATTTGTCTGGAATTAAACTCAGTCACACCTACCGCACTGGAATGTATATAAATAGTACATATATGCTCTATGGCTTGCTAGAGGAGCTACATAAGCAGTCTTCATTTTGTGGGACAAATCCGGTACGAAGGCAAATCGTATGGAAAAATACCTCTTTAGCAGAAATGTGCGTTAATCAGATTAATTGAATCAGTTTAACTCAAGAAATTATCGTACATAAATTTTGTGTACGTACTTCGCACACACACACAAACAAACACAAACACAACAAACACATATTTATACACATATTTACATACATTATACACATATTTACATACACATATCATGCATTCTGGGGGCAGTCATTGAAATGTAAACAAAGAAAACTGCTACTCATACATATGTGCACAAATATATATGAATATACGAGTATATATGTATGTACATATATATAATTGGTGTTATATAACCGTTGAAGCGATTTTAGACAGATCTCTTCCTCCAATTTTTGATGTACGACTTGATGTTCTTCCAACCAGTGGAGGGAGCTACAGTTTATACTGAGCCGCCTCCGAACGGCTGATGGATTTTTATGAGAAGCTCTTATTTCATGTCAGATATACACTTGACATTATAGCAGAAGATGCAGTATTGAGTCCATGAAAACTCTTGGAGCTCGCTGCGTAAGTCCGTTAAACAGTTTTTAACGGCAAAGCTGTAAAGCTTCAGGTCCCCATTAACAGCATTAAAACACAAAAGCTCAGTTTCAATTCTTGGAAAATCTGTGGTCTCGGAGGTTTGTGTAAAAAAAATGTTGTGCCGCTGAAGCAATGGCTACATTTAGAGCACTAATTTCCTACTGAAAACCTGCAACCGAACTTCTAGTCTTCTGATCATATTCCCTTACAGCAAGCACTAATCTTTCTCGTTCATCCGATTCTAGTTTGAGGCCACCACAAATTAATCTCGATCTACCGTGGCTTTACATTTTTCAGTTTCGCTATTAAAGCTAGTCAGGACACGAGACCAAGGGCGTTGCTGTGCCACCATCTCCTTCGGGCATTTCTTGGGAACCACTGTCCAACCAGTCGGATTGAAGATATCCCCATAACCATAAGCACTTTTAAAATCACGTGATAAATATATGTACGTGTATAACAAATTAGTTTATGTAGATTGTTAGAGCATACGTGAGTCTGTAATCGGGCATATTTGTGTGCTTCCACTTTGTCACAAGTGATACTTAAACAACAATAATACTTTTAATTCACTTTGGCCATTGTCTGCTCATTTCTTTGACCGGCTTTGCAATGGGAATAATGCCAAATCGACATACATATGTACGAGTATGTTTTGTATGTTTTTGGGTTCGACTATCAGCGGCTGCGCTTACCCGTACATGCATAGATGCTCGCAAATTAAGGAGTGGAAACTTTTCGTCACAATTTAGTGCAATTACCTTCATGGCTCCAGAAAGTTCTTCCTATTTATTTATTAAGTAAGGTCTTTATGATATTGAATATGGCTTGCCCAGTAGGAAACTCGCATCCAGGTGGGTTACTTGATATGCGTCCGGAGAGATCTTAAGGCACTGCGGTCTCAGCTTTCTCCAGTCGTGATCATGAGTCATTATCTATATAAGAAAAGAAGGCAAACTGATCTTATGCAGGAATTGAGTTTTATAAAAGACTAAAGCTGACCGATTAGAGTTCAATCTCTCTCAACTGTGTTTTTCCTTTTTACCGGTTTAAATCTGGTAGCGGTGTGAACCTATTCATCGTTTTCATGTATTACTGTACTCCATATACAGACCAGCTGGGCTTTTGTAAAGCCAGATATATGGTTCAGTTCAGTTTGAGTGAAGTATTCGTCATAGACATAGACTTCAAAACCTTGATTACCAATTTTGGTACTTCATCTAGCCCTTTGAACTACGCAGATCCTAGATATCTAAAACGAGTTATAAAAAAGTCTTGGTGAAACCAGCGGAAATGTTCTAGCGTCTCATCCACGCGAATGTCTTGCAATCCTTTCGAGACCGAGCAAAAAATCCATCCTTCGGTGCATGTCGTAGAGCCATTCCATATCACTCTGATGCGTCTGTCAGATTTTTTCTGAAATTTCATTGTGAGATGACTTCCGCTTAGGAGAAACTACAGTAATCTGGAAGCTTGTAGTGTTTCCCGTGTAATCAATTTACGAACCGTCTGTGTAGAGATGGCAAGTTCCGTTCCGTTAGTGGGTTGCATGTTTTTGCGCCATCCACCCTCTTGTCCGCCAGTTCCATGCTATGCATGAAGGTGCTTGTGAAAAACTTACCCAACGCCATTAATCTTACAGCTGACGTCGCTGCAAAGCTTTCCACCGCAATGTAGATGAGTGTTTGGTTGAGTAACCTTTCTAATGCAGTCCTTGAAGTGGTTCAATATGCAGGGTAGAGTGATGAATTCCTGAAAAATATGTGCATGGCATTGGTTCACACACCCGAGTGTGGTAAAGCAAGATTGGCTTAATTGGTAGCTCAACCTCTTTGAGCCTTGGGACTTTCCGTGTCGCCATCACGTAGCTCCTTGTGAGGAGTACCTTATCGTCCTATTTTTAATGCCAGAAATAAACTCGCGCGTGCTCTGTTGATGCCATTGTTTTCGATGTTGGTATAAATAAGACCCGAATGTATGAACCTTCGGCTCGTCACACTCACTTCCACCCTTGCGATTACTGATATAAAACTGTCTGGAATTTCTCGGGAAAAGCAAAACTATGTTTATATGTTTATAAGCGCATTTAATTGTATTTGAATCTTTAAAAATTGGGTCACTCTGCAGAGCCACACTGGGAACCGAGTTAAGTTCGGCATTAACTGTTATCTAATTAATAGAACTTAATTAAGAAATGAGGTAATTTGCGTGAGAAGTCGTATGTTGTGATTGTTAGATTATACATACATACATATTTAGATATATTGTATGTATGTATGTATGTATGTACATATGGATGTATGTATGTTCGAGCTTCTTGCTGTCAACAACAAATTATGTGTGACCATGTAAGCCCATCTACGAGCATATTCAAATATAAATTGTAATTAGCAATTTAATAGAATTTCACATGTGCATACATGCAAACATACGAATAGAATGGCATACAGAAAGACAAAAGTGTTTATGCATTTGATAAATTAAGTCCCATTATGAATTGGAAATTTTCCAAATTTTCGTAAATCTAACCCCATCGTCGGCATACTGTTCGGACGAGATCAACAACTGTCTACCGCCCTGTCTGCTTCATGGATTTTTAAATAAATACATACAAACATATGCAAGCACTTTAACGAGGCATCTATGTACATACTTCAAAATGAAGCGAAATATGCGAAGAGAAGTTGGGTATGGGTGAAGCCGAACATTTTTCGGTGGTCAGTAAACGAACTGCTTCGAAAATGACCGAAGTTAATTATGAGTGAATTGAAGTTGTATACTTTACTTATGGCGCCTGCTACAAGAATCCTATATTAATTTTGCAAGGACTTACTTACTTACTTTACTGGCGTAGACACCGCTTACGCCATTATAGCCGATTTGACAAAATTGCGCAATTCGAATTCTTCTTTTTGCTGTTTGGCGCCAATTGGAAATACCAAGTACAGTCAGGTCACTCTCTAATTGATCTTTCCAGCGGAGTGGGGGTCTTCCCCTTCCTCTGCTTCCACCGGCGGTTACTGCATCGAAAACTTTCAGAGCTGGAGTATTCGCAGAGTATCCACAGGGAGCTTTGCCTCGGTTCCAGTTGGCTGGGAGCTCCAACAGCGTCATTCACAGAGAAAGTTCATAGATTATATAAAGGGTGCTCTTTTAGACGTGTAGCTTTCAATGAGACAATACTTTTTTCGGAGTTGGTCTTTTTGACATCCGTTACATGATTTATACTCAGTTTAGGATGCTATTTCATAATGAAAAGACCTACGCGCCTTGGGTCCAATATTCGGTTGAGATAAGACTCCATCCATCTTGCAGAAGTGTACATCTACTTGGTTTGAGGGCTTACAAAATCCAACCACCTTCAACCGAGTCGCACGTTCGGTGAATCAGGCCAAAAGGAGATGGCCACCGAATTCTTTTTTTTTTTTGGTGGAGAATATTGTTTAGGGTTGAGGCTCACTTTGGGTCGATTAAGTATGTTTATAAACAGAATTATCGTATTCGGAGTAATCTTAATCTACAAGATATTGCGGAGATACCCCTACTTTCAAAAGTCCATGTTTCGTGTGCTCTATGGACAGAAGCAATAAGTAGTCCAAGTTGCGCACCGATTTCTCTCAATCATTTTAACTAGTTGTAAAGAACCGTTATGTGAACAAGATAAATTTTACCTCTGCATGCGGAGCATTCGGATATAAAATCAGCTTAATAAATCTAGAACAATCGAGATACATAAACAGCCAAATGGAGAGCTATTATGTCCAGATTATTACGGACACACACATACATACGCAAATAATACATGATCAGCGAGAGTTCTTTGTGCTGAGCCGGTCCAGATTACTTGCTATAGTTGTATGTATGTACGTGTATATATGTATGGACGTGTTTGTATGTACATAGGTTTGCGAAAATGTCACCATATAAAAAATTTGCCTCAATGCGTGCAAAATATGAACATCGAAACACACACACACACACACACACACAAACACACAACGGGCAATGATGTACAAATTGTACTTGAATAGCCGCTCCTGCGACCCAGCTACCACACCACTTAGAATAAATCCACTATTATCCATCAACATTCATGCATACCAGCATGAGCATGCACGAATACATACATCTGTGCTTGTGCGAGTATGTATGCCTTCAAATATTAACTATACACTTGTTATGGAATTGGCCCCAACCTCACCCACTCACTTAGTCGACATGGACGCACTTGTTTTTATCAGACATAATAAGTATATAAGGCAAGGCTGGATTTGAAAAGTCCATCAGTCAGTTTTCGAATTTTCAGACGTTTACAATTGCGCTTAGCAACCAACTGAGATACCCAAATCCTTAAAGAACCCAAGACAGAAGTTCTATTCAAAATGAAATATATCGTCGCAGTTTTACTCGCTTTGTTCGCTTTGGTAAGGCGTGCAGACATACACACATACATATATACGTGTATATGTATATATTATAAAATATTACTATATTTCTTTCTTCCATGCATTATAATTTTCTCATCACCAAAAACCATTACAGGCCGCTGCCGAGGAGTACAAGCTACGCAATCAGGATGACTTGTTGAAGGCGCGCAAAGAATGCATGGAAGCGAAGAAGGTCCCAGCCGAACACATTGAGAAATACAAGAAATTCGAGTTCCCCGATGATGAGGTGACGCGCTGCTACATTGAGTGCATCTTCAATAAATTCCAGTTGTTCAGCCCGACCGAAGGTTTCAAAACACAAAATCTGATTGCTCAGCTTGGTCACAATAAGGAGAACAAGGATGCTGTGAAGGCTGATATTGAGAAGTGCGCTGATAAGAATGAACAGAAATCGGACTCGTGCACATGGGCCTATCGCGGTTTCAAGTGTTTCATCAGTAAGAATTTACCGTTGGTGCAGGAAAGTCTCAAGAAGAACTAAATGCATTCACATACATACACACACACATGTAGATCATGGAGACAAGTGAGCATGGTGCCGGTGGATGGGGTGGATATAGACCAAAAAGAACATCAGACGTAACAACGAAAACAACAACAACAACAACAACAACAGTGTATGTATTTATTGCTAGAGCAAATCAAGAAAACATGAAAAACAGTCCAACAACAGTACTGAGTGACCTACAACAAAAAACATCAATAGCAATACATCCAACAACAACAATAACTGCACCGATAAACACAATCAACATGAACAGCCCGCCGGCAAGCAACTCCACACAACAGTCTTCGTGAAAGCAAACATCAAGACTCATGTATGTATTAATAATAACAAAAAATTACAAAAAATAAAAATAAATAAGTAAATTTGCAATAGTACGGTTGAATCATCTTGAAACGTCCTGTTATTTTCGCATTTAACTATTCCTTTTTTGCTAACACAGCAATTATGTCTCATTCATTCGATGTTAATAGACTTCCTCGAATAAAAATGGACCTAATAAAAATGTGCAAAAAAGAAAGAAAAAAGTTTTCCGTATTTTTATTTTATTTAGCCTTAGGACCAAAATTGTTTGCAGAATTTGAGCTTCAGCACAAAATAATCGATGGGGAAAACCATGAAGTTTTCTTCCCCTACCATCGCGTTTTAACTTCCACTAGTCTGCGAGTCAATGTGGTTACAACGAGATCCGTTCACTAAGCTGCCATCAAAATGGTGATGGCTCGACCTCGTTTAGGCATGAAGGTAAAATTTAAAAATATTATCTTGGAGTAGCTCACTGCGCCTCAATTGCCACAAATCCTCCGCGGGCTGGTATATAATGAATAATAGCATACAAATTTAGTCGAAATCGTCGACGGCTGCAAGATCTTTCGAAGTATTCTGAACGAAGGAAGGAAATTTTAACCGAATTTGTTCAAGGGATGCAATCCATAGGGTGGTTAGTGTCTTGCACAGGATTACTAGGTAAAGCCATTATATATTCTTCTGCCTCTAACTGGGAGCTGCTAAGCCAAAAGGCCGCTAAGATTCTTTCGTCTTAAGATAACCTTTGTTTGAAAGTAAACTGCTATTTTCCCGAGCTTTCCCAATTCAATTGAACATGAACATCTACAAATACAACCCAACCAACGAAATCTTCAGTTACCCTCTTCGCCAGTTGGATGAAGGGATACCGGCTCAAAGTGGATATGAAAGTCGATAGCGTAACAATTCCGACGATTAGCAATGGGCGGCGGGGACTAGCGATTCGCAGAAGAAGCTACTAGCTTGCAAAAAAATCGCTCTGAAGCCTGTAATAGAAAACCTCCTGTTGTCACCTATGCGCCAATTACGCAGGTACACATCTACGTTCCCAATTGAAGATAAAAATGTTATGTTTGGTGAGCAAAGTTTGCCGATATGCTAGCATCGGGACTATCCTAATGCACGTTAGTAAAGAAAATAATCGATTTCAAAGACGTCATTCCCGTTTTCCTGGATTTTGGCTTTAAATGATATCAACGGCATACAGACTAGTTTTGCCTCAGGATGTAACGAGACCCGCACTGAAAACCACGACCGGCGCCGGCTTTGACGCTGCGAATGATTATACAAAATTGAATACGTAAAGTTTGAACAGTGGGTTGCATACTTACATACATAAGCTTGTGAAGTTGTATACTACAAAGGAATTTATTTGTCGCTGGCAACGTCGACGTCCTTAGAGGGGTTGGCAAACCGGAACTGCTATTACAACCACAGCGCAACAACAGCACCACAACAAAAACAGCAACGACAACAATAAAAACAGTCATAACAACAGAAATAGCCATAACAACAACAACGACGACGACGACGTCAACAACAACCACAGCGACGACGTCAACAACCACAGCGACGACGATGCCAACAACAACAGCGACGACGACAACAACAACAACAACAACAACAACAACAACAACAACAACACAGTCACATCATCATCAACAACAACGCATACCACTACCACCAACAACAACAACAACAACAACAACACATACCAACAACAACAACACATACCACCACCAACAACAACAACAACAACAACACATACCACCACCACCAACAACAACAACAACAACAACAACAACACATACCAACAACAACAACAACAACAACAACAACAACACATACCAACAACAACAACAAAAACAACAACAACAACACATACCAACAACAACAACAACGACAACAACAACAACAACAACAACAATACATGCCAACAACAACACATGCCAACAACAACATATACCAACAACAACAACAACACATGCCAACAACAACATATACCAACAAACCCAACACATGCCAACAACAACATATACCAACAAACCCAACACATTCCAACAACAACAACACATACCAACAACAACAGCAGCAGCAGCTATATCACCCACAACAACAGCACTAATAATAATAATAATAATAAAAATAATAATAATAATAATAATAAAAATAATAATAAAAATAATAATAAAAATAATAATAATAAAAATAATAATAATAATAATAGTAATAATAATAATAATAATAATAATAATAATAATAATAATAATATTAATAATAATAACAAAAAGAAGCACATCAAAAGCAAAACCAACAACATCCGAGGTTCTAGTTTCTCTTCTCACACAACTAAACGTCCAGGCCGACGAAGCACCTCTTCCAATACAATACTTTGCAAACTTCCTTACACCAAAACTTTGGAAGACCTCCAAGTACTTCGAGAGCCGTCGAAAAAATCATGGTGATGCTAAGCTCCTTGGTCTAGCGGAAGCAGACTTACTTACCAGTTTTCAATATGTTTTTGTCCACTAATTATACTCGACATGTAAAACAAAAAACAGCGTCCCACCACTGAAACAACACAACCCCTTTTTTCTCAAATAAAAACACATTTAAGTATATTTTATATATATTTTCGAAATTGCTTGTTCTTTTTACAAGTAAATATATTTTTTAAATATAATTTTATATTTTTGAATTTCTTTTTTTTTCTAGTAATTTTTTAAATGCTATTAAATGGTAATTTTTTGTTTTAGTCCGCTTTCTTTACTGCCATACATTTTTTGTTTTATTTCTCTTTTTTCTAATCTTTTGGTTTATGTTGAAGTTTTTTAAGTTGTTTTATTTTTTTCAAATTTCTTCTTTGTTCATCATATTTGCTTGTGGCCTTTTATATTTTATTTTATACATCTTTTCGCCATGTATAGTTTCATCTTTTCGTTTATCGCTCTTTTATTTGTTTTTTATTTTTCTTCTTTATATTGTGAGTGTATATTTTTTTAATCTTTTAATTCTTTTGCCATCTTTCATTATGACTTCTTTTCTTTTGTTTTTTAAGAGCGTCTTGAATGATTAAAACTTTGTAAAATAAAACTTTTTAACGGGAGTGTTGCTGTTCAAAAAACATTATAACCAATAGAATATCGAAAGTCCACATAATTAATCTTTTAATTATTTTTTATATGTCCTTGCATTCTTTTCATTCTCTTTTTTAGCATCAGATTTATATTTTTTATTTCTTATTGGTATCATTTTTTTGCTTGCTTTAAGCTTTATCGTCCTTTTTAAATATATTCTGCCTTTTCTCACTTCTTTTTTTATTTTGATGCTCTTTTTATTAATCATTCAATATTTTCAACATCTTTTTAAAGGTTTGGTAACTGCATGTACATGAACATATAATGTTTTTTGAAATCTTTTATATATTGTAAAAAAAATCTGAAATAAATTAGGTGGATTAAAAAGTGTATCAAACGATAATGTTATCTCAGGATAAGGGATAGTGAAGTTTTGTACATATATATGTACGTTGGGACATACTTTTTAATGAAAATGCGTGAATGTTTCCACTTAAGTTAACCGCAATATACCTAACATCGCATTCACCCAACAAAAAAAAAAACAACCAATTACTCTATGTACATTCTTTCAACAGTTTCAAAAAAGTTAAGTACCGCCTAAACTGATCAGAAATTTAATTGTCCACATTTAATCCCTTAACGTATTTTAAACCATTATCTACAAAAGTTCCCATCAGTCACGTAATGTATTGAATTCCCTCAAAAACCCAATGATCCAACCCCAATCAGGGGTGTTATAGAAACCAAAATAGAATTGCTTATTTATCGGAATTGAAAATCAATATCTGTTTGAAATGGTGTTTTGAGACCGATTTTGCTTTTGCTTTTTTCGAAGATAAGCAAAGTCAATATTCGAATAAGCTGTCATCACACTTGTGCAAAAAGCTGTTGTAAAATCGATTGTACATGATTTACATTTAGAGCAAATTTCCGCTTACAAAGAACATTTTGCACATTTGCACACAATTCAAGGAATAACTGCCCGATTCAATTCTGACATTTAAACACCTAAACTAGACACAAATTCTGTTCTGAAAATGAAGCCTATATGGAAAAGAATAAACGGAATGTGTAACCCCTTCAACAGAATTTTTCCGGTTTCAATTCTGATTCCGACAACAATCTGTTTCTGTAACACCCGTGATTAACTATAAATCTTGCTGCACAAAATACTGTTCAATTAAAAAAAAATTTGGTTTCAAATTAAAAATGCAAGTGTAAGTTTTTTACAGCAGGCCAATCTTTTTTAAATCTTACAATGCAGTCTACCTCGAAAATCAAAACTAAACAGCATTTTATTGTGCTAGTAGTGGTCACATTTGCAATGTTTTATGTTAATTCAAAATATTTGTCTCAAAAAAAAATAATAAGAACCATGAGTAATGAAACTGAATCCAATAACTGAACTGAGAAATTTTATTAAAAAAAACTACTTACCTTAGAAATAGGAATAAAACATTAATCAGTATGGTGCATAATAATTTGCACGTCCGCGATAACCCCTTCTGAAACGAAATTAATTCTAATTAAATACTTATCTGTCAAATATTTTCCACTTCACACTTACATTGGACGGCGTGTACCGCGGAAAGAAGTGTGACAGCAGGCACGAGATATGCGTGCTCCCCGACCACGGAAACTACCCCTTGCGAAACGATTTGTGGTTGACAATCCAGGGCGGTTTGTGCGTTTTGACATTACCTGTGAAATCGATAATTAATAGATAATACACTAAAAAAATATTCAAGTAAGAAAAATACATTTGTTTTAATTAACACACCTTAATTTGACGTCCTCTAAATAGGGTCTCATTCATAGCCAGTGCAGTCTCAACAAATTCTTTTGATCCGAATTCAATGTAAGCGAAGCCCTTAGGATGACCATCAGCTTTGTTACATAAAATTGTTACGCGATTGATGGTGCCACAGCCATGAAAATGCGACTCTAATTCCTCAGCCGAAGCACCATAGTCTACGTTGCCAACATATACTGAACGGGTATCAATTTCTTGTTTCTCTTCCAAAGACAATGGCACGGTGGCCAAACCCGTTGTTGAGCCAGCCATTTGTTTATCCACTTCAGACTGCATTTGTTTAATTTTTTCGGCCTCCTCCTCCATTTCCTTAACACGTGCCTTGATTGCTTCTAGTTCAGGGTCGATTTGCATATTGGATTCCTCCTTTGACGAAAGAATGGAAAAAATAATTTTCATATTGTTTATTAAAAAAAAAAAAAAGCCGGAAAAATATAAATACGGAAAATGAAAATGGATACACACAAACTCCTGAAGCGAACAGTATAAGACACAGACATGATTGATACATACATATGAATATACATATGGATATAGTAGATGCAGCATTTGTTTGTGGCATCTACATTGTTAATTTTTGTTCGCTTCTTTTCACAATATTCTTTCTACATACATGCACTTTTTCTGATACACAACAAGTTCTTTTCAAATATTTTATTAAAAAAGTTGAAATCTTCCAAATTTTAATCTTAAAGGATTTTTATACCCTTTATAAGTGTGCTCACCTCGTTTTCGTTCATTAGTTCCGCTTCGTGCTCGCCATTTGCCTCATCCAGATTGTCTAGTAGTTGGTCTTCGTTCAACGATAAATCTTCGTCTGCCATTTTGCTAATCGATAATTTAAAGCTTCCACCACCAAACAAACCACAACGCAGAAAAGCTCCTCAAAGGTAGTTACTTTTTGTTATTGTAGAACAACTATCACAACAACAAGCTGGTCTCTTTTGTATTCGCCTTCAGTGTCTTTATATTGCTAGGAAATGTATTACGTACAATATAGATATCAGTTTTTTGTCTTTTGTAAATTTATTCATACAAATGCAATAGAAAGATACATATTAGTGCGCGCGCATAATTCCGATTTCGCTCCATTATAGTGGCAGCCATTTTGAGCGAAATAAAAAATATTGAGCGCGTGCAAGAGTGCCAAAAGGTTATTTTTTATGACAAATCAAATCACGTTAGGATTTTCATTTCTTTGCTTTGAAGTATTTAGAGTTTAGAAGTACCATTTACTCACCTGTATTTTTCTAAAAGAAACTTGATTCCCGTGCAGTATTTTTAGATCGAAACAGCGCTCCAAAGGTACTTTGACACTAGACGAAAGCGAAAACTGCTTTAACACATCTGACACATCGCCAATTTAAACTTTCGCTCTAAGCGATTTCACTTTGCTTTCGCCATATTTTCCTTGGTAATAGATTACTACATGCAATGAGTGTTGGTAGCACAATATCTATATTAAGGAGGGCAAAAAGTTGGACAAACTTGTTGGATATGTATTTCCTTTCGAGAAACTAGTAGATATCAAGTTACAATAACCTATTTTATATTTCATTTGTGGTTATATTTATTCGAAAAGAGTACATATAAAGACACATTCACAATGAAAGGCAAAGAGAGAAAGGAATTAAATTCAAAGTTTTGAATAGAGAAAAAAGTGCAATAAAAAAATTTAAGAAAACTATTAAACAGTGGTATATATGAATTATTTATTTGTATTTTTTTTTTAGCGCTTGGAGGGTTAAATGGCCAAACTCAACGGTAAACGAATCACATGATTACTCCTTCAATTACGAGCCTTTGATCATAAGGCCCATTCTGAATTATTTTGGCATCATTATCTATACATTTTTCTAGTTCTTTACCAATTTTTGTGAGTCAACCAAACAAAGTAATTAATATACATTCAATTTGGTAATGGCCAAAAATATGATAAGAGAGACCTGAAAACTCGGTATAACACGATACAAAAAATCGACAATATTTGACGATGTTTTTTTTTTTCTACCATCTCTATTGTTTACTTCAGCTGTTATTTGCTTGTCTCATTTATTTAAAGAGAAAAATTGGTGTATTTACGTATAATGAATATAGATGAAGAATCCGATTATGAAGAAGAAGAATTTTTAATTTACGCTGACTTCAAAAATCAACTCGGATCGCTTGAACTGGATGAAAATACAGCAGTAAAAATTATAGGAATTGATAGTCAACCAATAGCTGAAGTGAATGGAAACATATTTAAAGGTATTTACAATATTTGGAAATGTTTTTCTATATATACTCACAAATATATGGACCCATATGTCCTTATAATAAATATTAACAGGAACATTTGATTATCCATTGGGCACATGTGTCTTCTTTGAAAAAGACCTTGACGCTGCACCATCCGATCCTTTATTCGAAACCAGCTGCCGACAGAAGTATAAATATTTCTCGAAAACAAATAAAGTAATAAACTTTGAACGGATATTTGTTGAAACCAATTTGGATAAAACACCTTGTGAGAAAACAATCATGGGTAATAACCAGACATCTGAAGAAAAATGCGATCCCACCGGAGATGAAACGAAACACCACAAATTATCTGAAAATGATGAGCTTCGAATACATAAGACATATGACGAAGCAATAAAACAATTTCCACCATATGAAGGCGACACTTGATTCATTTAGTACATGTACAAATGTACATATATGTAGTATCTATATGGAAATAATAAAATTCTGATTTAATGATTTTTGCTAAAATTGTAAACTTTTTTCTCTCTAAAAATACAAAAATTTGCACGTATTAAAAATATCAAAAATTTTGTCAATTTAAAATACAAATGCTTTTGAATATTTGTTGAACTTAAAAACAAACAGAAGTTTTTGAAATGACCGAACAAATTTCGTGAAATTTACATACATATGTATTCTTTAGTCGATGTTACAAATTTCATTTAAGACACTTCTAGGAACATACATGCATATGTAATGTACATATATACATACATATACTATATAATAAAAAATTAATTATTTATTTTAATTTATTATCGTTTCAGCAAATTGCATTTAAAATTAAAGAATGGAGGAAATACTAGGGCAAGAAATGAGTCCACCCCTTTCTTTGGGAAAGTTTTTAAATGATTGGAAAATTTCTTTTCAAGCTATAACATTGCCAAAAACTCATGAGGATATAAAAAAAGCTATGATGTCGACAGAAAATCAAAAACGTTTTGACGATGTTGTTACACAATGCTCATTAGAAAACCTTCAACAAGAAAATGATCCGAATATTATTAAGTTTGAACCGAGTTTTACAACTATAGCACGCATCCCAATTAAAGTGGATGAAACAGATTTAAAAACAGTCAAAGAACTGATAAGAGAAAAAAACCACACCCAAAATAAGAATCCATTTAAACGTTCACGAGAAATATATGCTATGGTTGGACTTCCACAAGAGCAACAATTTGAAAAATATGAATCATGTGACTTTTACAATGATATTATTGTAAAAGTGCGTATTTATAGACCCGCTCGTGTTGTACACTCTGGACAGAGTTTGGAAAAACCAGTATTTGCCGAAGAATTTGAATGCCTGGGCTCGAATTACCTTAGTGAGCTACGTGACAAAATTACCTGTGTTTGTAAAAAGAAACGCTTTTTTGATGTTAGCGATAATCCAACAGCCGATCTGCCAGAAAAAACAACTGACCCCGGATATTTTTTTATAAACAATACATTCTACAATGACCGCAGAAATCCCGATAATGCTGATTATTCTGAAGTTATCAGGAATTGGGCGAAAAAAGCTGTAGGACTAAAGGATTTACTCTTTGAGGTAGCCCAAATGGAGACAACTCGGTTCCTAGATTTAACTGTTAGCATAGGGTTTCCACAACTATATCAGCACCATGGAAATTGTGAACATGTATTCGTCATATCTCAAGTAGAAGTATTGACACATGGAGTCGCAAGCGTCCAGAGGAGTATATATCCTCGCCTTTCTTCATTCGGTTATTTTAATAATCGTGTTTGCAATATGTGTGGTACACGACGGTATAGATTCATTGTAACAAACAGTGATCGACAATTACACGACCCAGCCTATATCTGTAATAAATGCTTCCTAAATTACCATTATGTCGACGGAAAGAAAATAGGAAATTTTGAAGCATACAGAGTTAATGAGGACAATGAAGAGGAAGAACAAATCAGATACAGCGATAAGCCGGCAGTTGAGTTGGGCTACCGCTCTGATGACGTTGGTATACAAAGAACAAGAAGTGAACTGAATTAATTAAATACATATTAACTCTTTTAAAACTTTCTATTTTACGATAAATAAAGTCTGCAAGAATAAAGCTTTTCAAAGCTTTTTTTTCCATTAAAATAATATATAATTTCACACGAAAATTAATAGAAGATAGGATACTAACTTTATTAATAACTTGAAAACTTAAAATAACAAAAGAAAATAGGTTCAAACTTCATTCAAATTGTTTTTTAATATTGATTTAAATATTTTTATATTTTTTTTAAAACAAATTAATAATGTGTTGAGCCTCCACGGTTAAGTATGACTTCGTAGATCCCCTGAGGTAAGGAGTCATATAATTTTTTTATATAATTGAGTGAAACAGCCTCCCAAGTCCTTTTTATTCCTTCAATGAGTTCTGCTTCGGTTGAATACTGCCTGCCGAACTCGTACACCTTTCGTGCCAGCCATCCCTAAACATTTTTTATAATGTTTAGGTCGGGAGAGTATGGCGGCCAAGTCAGTAATTCCACGTTTTGACCATCAATCCGGGACTTTACAATCCTGGCTGCGTGGATTGGTGCGTTGTTCTGCTGGAACTTCCATTTCAAGGGTCTAAAAATATCCTTGATTGCAGGGAAAGCCGTATTCAGTACACCTTTGTACGCAATGGCATTCATACGGCTGGTAAGAAACTGCAGTTCTATAGTGCCAAATATGTTAAAGCTCCCCACACCGCACGGCTGCATAATCGATCTAAAGTATGCTCTTCCTTTCTGTAGGCAAGAACCTCCAAATTGAGCTTTTTTTCATTTGAAAAGACTACACGCTCCCACTCCTTAGTCCAGTTTATATTTTAGATGCTTCATATGTTCAGCATTCGAAATAACTCTTTCCACAGGCCGAACGAACGCTTTAACACCAGTTTTTCCCTTTATTTCAGTTGCTGTTATTACTCATGATGCCCGACCTTTCATGTTTTTCCCATATGTATCCTCATTGCTTATTATTACGACTGCGCTTAATATTTTTTGATATTTGAAAAATAGAGTGCCCGCACTCCCTGTAAGCCTTTATTCAGCCCTTTTCAGACTCGTCCAACGGTTCTCTTTTGCCCATTATTACTTTTTTTTATTGATAATAAGTCCCAATAAATAAATAATAAACTTAAACACCCAATTAAGGCAGCTTACACGCAAAAAGTCACATGAAAGTGAAATTGTGCTAATCGGCTGTTGCAAAAAACATGCATGCATTTTTGTCGCACTTCAAAGAAAAAAGCAAAGCGAAATAACGGTACACTTCCAGAGCTCACAGTTATACTTATATTCAGAGTAGGAATTTATTTTCCTTTAAGCTGATATGTTAGAGAGTGTGCTAATCGGTTGTCGCGCAGTGTATGAAGTCATTTAGGCAGAGCAAAGTCACTTCAATCAGCTTGCTAAGTTGTATAAAGGCACTGGACTGGTTGAAATAATGTGAAGAAATCGGAGGGTGCAATAGGCCACTGGTCGCGGTACATATTCTCCTCACAAATCTATCTTACCTATCTATTAGAAATCTGCTACAATTCGGATATATACATGAGGCTTTTTGGTGAGTTAACTTATATCGGGGTGTGATGCGTTACCGAAATGTAACTTTTATATTTTCTATTTGCAATTTGATTAATTAAACCCAGTAAAGACTCTTTAAAGCAATTGTATCTAGCCATCTACCCGCTCATATCTAAAGAATATAACCTTAATGATACGTAAATAATTCAAGTAGTTGTCTGATCTATATACCTGGAAGTCAGGAAAAAGCGTGGAATTAATACGTAACGGTATAATTCAAATTCTGCAACATTCATAATGCGTGTGTTGAAAACGGTATAGTGCATTCACATAGTAATAAATGCAACACTGTATTCTAATAATTTATGACATTGCCGAAGAGAGAAAGTCAAACAAAAACAGTGTAATTTCTCAGTAAATTCTTGGTGATTCCTCATCTTTTGGAATTTATGTTTATACCTTTTTCTTTTTTAGTAGAATTTAAATAAGATTAAAAATATAACTCACTTAAATGTACGAAAATTAAATCATGCAATTAAACTATTCACAAATTACAATATCGACAAAATGATGTTACGATCGCAAGTAAAAATAACCGATATTTGTTGATGTTATGCCAGAGTTGTAGTGCTATTTATGTTTTTTTACAGTCAATATGAATGAACACGTTTGCATGAAAAATGTCGACCGAGATGAAATGCCTATTGCAAGTGGGGAAGAACCTGATGCCACAACTTCGAACACATCAAATGCTACAACACCCACATCAACAATCAAAGAGAAGCGCAACTGGTTCCAATCTCTAACAAGGCGGAAAAAATCTCAATCCCAATTATCATTGGCTAACACACCATCAACATCACGAGATCTACCACATATACAAAACAATAACAATGAACCTGTGCAACTGGGGTGTACAAGAAATATTAACATTGGTAACGATGGCAATACAAGGAATAATCTTGAAGTAAGCGATGCTTCCGTCCGCAGTCGTAAAGGTGCAAAGAATGTTTTCCAACGACTACGGAAGAGAATGGGCTTACGATTTTCTTCATTACGAAATAGACAAGAGGAAGTCGGTAAGCCGGATGGGGTTGATATATGTGCAGGAGGCACAATAAACGCCTCAGATGAATTCTTAACCCACTCACCTATACGCGAACCTCACCAGCAGTTTGAATATTCCTCAAGTATCACGGCTGAAGAACAACAAATTGTACCATTTACACAAGGTTACAAGCAATTTATTGCAAAGAAGTGGCTTCAAAAAGAAGCAAGACCTAACCATATAATGTATACTGCAAGTTCGGAAATGTTAAGGTACGAAATCTTAAATAATTTAATATTAGTAAAAAGAATATTGCTGATGCATATGTACATACATATATACAATGTATGATTGCTAACTTTAGAACTAAGTTCAAATAACATTCTTTATTCATAAATGGTACAAAAATATAGCCGAAAACTCTCATATCATAATGTACATATGTATGTTTATATAATTTTTTTTTAGTATCTCATTTTGAGAGTCTAAATTATTTAAATACTATATTAATATATCCTCTGAAAATATGATTTATTTATCCATGGTTTTGAAAAATTTATTTCCAATAATTTTCTTTACCCAATCGATTTTATTTTACTATTCCAGTCAAGTTTGGTACTGGGGCGAGATATCGCGACTCGATGCTCAAAAGCAGTTAAGCGACAAACCCACCGGCTCATTTTTGGTGCGTGATTCTGAAACGCGCGGCTGCCAATTCACGCTCAGTTTTCGGATTGTAAACGTGACCTTTCATTATCGTTTAGAATACCATGACGGTTACTGGCACTTTGAGGAATTACAATATGAATCCATAGTAGAAATGATAAAGGATATACTATATCGTTGTACTAATGATAATTTTGTATGCTTTGTGAAAGTTCAAAACGAATTGCAGCCACCTTGTCCGGTCATTTTAAAATACCCACTTAGCCGTTACTTCAAAATGCCACAATTGCAGGATCTTTGCCGACGGGTAGTTCAGCAACATGCTACATGCGAAGAAATTGAAATGCTGCCGATTCCACCAAAGCTTCAAGAATATCTAAGTGTTAGGCGAGAATTAGTATTTCACAGTTAATAGGAAGTTTCATTTTTATTAGATAAAATTGTAGACTAACGAATGTTTATGGGGTAAATTGTTGCCCAGTGAGTTAGTCAATTAATTACTCGTTTGAAGCACTTTTTTAACCAATGTTAACTAATATTTTAAATCGGTATTGTAACTGTAAAATTAAGAATATGTAAAGCCAAAGTAGGAATATGCATACTCAGTAGAGTTTTAAATTTGTATTTTAGATAAATATCAACAAGACAAAAAATGTTCACTAATAGGATTTAAAAACAAACAGACATATTTACATATATTCATATATACTTACATATATTATATATACATACATCCATATGTGCACACAAAAAATTGGTCAAAATTTGTTATGTTGAAATGACCTCCAACGTATGCATGTTTCGATCAATTTCTTTTAGCGTAATTCATTAAAAATATTTTACAGTACTCTATGTATCCTAAGGCCAAAGATATTACTTTCGTCACTGTTTAAACTACAACTGCAATTAAATATTTATTTTGGCTGACTAATACAGAAAAACAATGCAATTGTAATGTCACTTGGTCATAAAATCGGTCATCTGTTTTATATATCATTTTGCAGTTTAAAGGAAACTTTGTGATTAAGATTTTCCCCAGATACTACTCAAAATACTATTTAATAAACTGTTCATTTTAAGTTAAACAGCAAATCATATTGACAATTGAGGGAATAAACGGCAATATATTGCGAACCGATACGCACAAATGGTTTGTATTTAATAATCAAGGAATAAGTTCAATTTTCTATAAATAATAAAGTAATAAGTTAGAATATATCTACGTAAATGTATATGCAAATGATAATGTTAAATAAGTTAATCGTATAGAATTAATATGACGAGTTTGTATAAAATATATGTATTCAATAATATATTAATAAAGTGTATTAAAGTAAAAATCACTTTATATTAAAATTTGAACAAATTTCTTTCTGTAGAGCTTTATAAAACAATACGAATAATCTTTATTTCGAAACTCAAAAAGCTAATATATATTTTTAAATATTCTAGTGACCATATATCAATATATTTGCTCAAATTTACAGAGATGAATTTAGTTATATCAAATAAAAATTATTCCAAAGAATTGTCTTCAAAAAATGTGTTTCGTTGATAATATACATTAGTTTCGTGTATGGGCTAACTTAATTATTAACGAATTGTAACAAGTTTTATTTTTTAAATAGTCGTCGTCGCTTTTTTCTTTAAATTTGGATGTTGGTCAGACCTGGATGCGAACCAAAGAACTTTAGAATGATAGTACGCACTGTACTGCAGTCACTTTTATTATGCAAAGTGCAATAATCGATATTAACATTTAAACATAAAGACGATTAGTTGTAGCACGAAATCGATTTTTGACTGAATAGAGTGTGATTTCCATTCGTAACACATTTATTCACATATTTCATTCCTATTGTTTGTTACTTTTTGTAAAAATGAAAAAGTTTCCAATTAAAATTGATCTTTCAATATTTTTTGAGGATGAAAGAAAATTTGTCATAATTTTGGTGGACCCACAATGGAATAGTGTGGAATGTGTACAACATAGGGTCGAAGAAATTTTTGGTGTAAAGCCGGTGCGTTTCTTAACAACGGATAATCTCTTTATCCCTCAACAGGAATCCATAGAAATTTTAGAATTTACAGAATCAATTAAGTAAGAAAACACTTTATAAATATACATATATATAATTTTTTGTTGTAAATTTAATACTTTTTGCCAGAGCCTTCATACCAAAACATGTTCTTGAAGAATCTCGCCGGCGATCTAAACAATATCAAGAAGAAAAAACTAAAATCCAAGAGCTCAACTTAAATACAGAGGCTTTGCCCATTGAAGAAGCCCCAAACAAAAAAAGGAAGTATTATTCATTGGGGACAGATCATTTAGGTAGTTCTACACCGAATCAGAACAAAAAACTAAAACGAACAGAAGTTCTAGTTCATCCTACCTCAAATGAATCCCATGAGATTACAAGTACGAATGATCAAGCTATTTTTGTCAAAGGCTGCTCGCTGGATAATAATAGCAGTGTAGGAAATCTCACTATTTCTGATAAAACGGAAAACGAAAGTGAACCTACCGAAAATAAACCGAGTAGGAAACGTAAAAGAAGAGTACAAAAAGAGAAATCTCAACGGAATAAAAATACCGATCAAGAAAAAAACAAAACAGGTAAATATATAGTATAATCTACCGAATCTGCATACAGTAAGTATGAACTGGAATATGATATCTTATATTTCACTTACTTTACATCAAAATTTTACATCAAAATTTTTTTGGTAGATTCAATAACGGTGCAGTCAGAAATACCTTCATCAACCTTTCTTTGTAATTCGAAATCGCTTGAAAATAATTCACATGTTTACTTTGAAGATTCGACCATCGTAGAGTCAACAATTGTTAAACATAAAACAAAAGCCAATACTAAGGCTGCTTTAGAAGAAACGCTATCACCAAATGTAATTTTCAAATGTAAGCTGGATGAAGTTGAATTTGGGGTGCCCTTGATTTACCCTTTACGAAAAATTAATAAAATGCTTAATACTCGCAAGCCAGTCATAAATATCCAAGAAAATATAATTATACGACCAGCAGATATGGATATCTCAACTAAACACCCACCCACGGAGGGTATAGAAAATGAAATCGTGAAAGAAGGTGTGGACAATATTGAAAATAGTGTTGTGAACAGTCCTAATCCCGCAGCAGTTTTTGCTATTATTGAAAAAGGTAAAAGTGACATCATCAACACAAAGATACTAGAAGATAGAAAATCTGAAATTGAAGTTGAAAATGATTCACAATTAGAAAATTCAATAGACAAAAATAATTTGGCCAGTACAGTCAATGATGTAAATGAGAACCACACTGAGAAAGATAACATTGAAGGCAATGAAAATCAATCAAAAATGCCGCACACAACCGACGAATACATCTTAAGTGAGGAAGAAGCGGTAAATCCAATAATCGAGAATATAAAACAAAATACCCCTTTAGAAAAAAGCCGTAATATTTCAAATATATCTGAAATGGATGTAAGCTCTGTTATAGACTTAGATGATGATGAAGACGTAATTGATTTAAGTGATGCCGAAGACCAACAACAATTGAGAGCGAATCCCAACACTACGTCTTCGAATTCCTTGAACAAAAGCATCCATTCGATGACCATAAAAGAAATGCTTCCGTTTTGTACACAACTAGTCGGCTTACCTGATTTGGAGGATATTGTTGTATTTAAGGTGAGTTCTCGCAATATATTCCAGAGTTTCTAGAAAAACTTTTAAGCACCAATGCGTTATTTATTAAAAATCAATGCACAAATTTCAGTTCATAGTTTGGATCTTCTTTTGTTATATATTTTTACCTTACTTTGCATGTTTTACAGTTTAATCGTCGAGCTGTTGGTGAGAAAACTGATCTGTCAGAATTCATAGCCTGTAGATGTGAACATATTAATAAGCGTACTAAAGTTTTAAAGTTGGCTATAATCGGTAAGATCAACAAACCAATATCAACTCTAATATAAACTGACATACACATTTATTTCCAGATGCATCTCTGGAGAATAATATACTTCCTCAAAAATATTGCTACAACTTGGATGAATCATTTGAAAATACATTTATGAATATAAAGCTCGCTGATATGATTGAGCCTAAGGTCTTAAAAGCTTAGCAAATAAATTATGTGTTTTTTGTTTTTTATGTCATATTTAAACCGCATTTATTGTTATTTTATATTAATGATTTATATAAGATTCTAAGATCGCCTCATTGCCAACATAGTATTTATTTCCCAAATAATAATGCGAGTACGATCAATCACTTCCCTTAATTGTCGATTTTTTAATCTAACTGTCTCGATTAATTCCTGATTTTCCTGTAATGCTTTACGATATTCATCGCACTGCGCAGCTTCGCTCCGATGGTCGGGCTGTTCCTCTTTATAATTTATTAGGCTTTCAACGTTGGTATAGTCCATACCATGTGGATAGCCATCATTACATTTTTCGTATATAATTCGAACACGCTTAAATAATAATCGTATCGTACGAAAATATTCTTGTACTTTCTTTTCGGTACTATTATCCCGATTTCCAGTAGGCTGAATTACCTTCAGTGCAGCGAATATCTCTTGAAACCGCGATGTTATGTCTTGTACAGTTTCTTGCCCTAAGCGAGATAAAGATACAATGTTGATTTCTTTATGTGGATTAGGTTGCGATATGGCCAACATGTTGCTGCTTGCTGTAGCTGTAGTCTGTGGTGCAGGCTGTTGTTGCCCATGCAGCATTCCTGCTTGATTGCCGTGAGACATCTGACCTTGTTGCTGCTGTTGTTGCTGTATATTCATTGAAATTCCTGAAGTTATGTGTTGTTGAGAATGCTGCATCATATTCCCTGAAGGAGCATTACTGATTCCTTGTCCACCACCCCCTGCACCCATTATTCCGGATGTCCCTGATGTACTGCCACCACCTCCGCCCTGCACTAATTGTGCGTGCTGTTGCATTTGTTGCTGCTGTTGTTGTTGAATTTGCATTGAAGCGTTCATAAGGTTCCCCGAGCCGCTCATACCCATACCAGTGGCCAATTGTTGTTGCTGTTGAGGATGATATCCTCCCATAGGCATCATGCCGCCGCCACTAACACCTATCGGTGCACCTGCTCCACCGCTTACCATTGCATTCTGTCCCATAACGCCAGCATTCATTTGGTTCATAGTATTTAACATTTGTGGAGATTGTTGCTGTTGCTGCTGTGGATTAAATTGACCACGATGTCCACCGAGCGGACTATTGTAGCCGCTTGGATATTGTCCTGACATGTTGACGTATAAAAAAAATTGCTTATCCGAAATAATAGGATGCAATCAGAGAATTTAGAATATTTAAGATACGTCTCCCTCTAAAAAAAGAAGAAAGTGAGAGCAATTAACGGCATATCATATCGATATTTATCGGATTTGATAGCGAAAGAGTCGTCGCCTCAACTGGCCATCTTTATGTCTTAGGTCTCTTGCAGAGTGCATGGCGAAAACCGAGCTGAGTCAAAGAACATTTATTAATATACGTTCTTTGGTATTTCGAATAGTGTACCGACGAAGAACGTATATTAATTAGAAGGGAAAAGAACTGTGAATTGTTCATTAAAGTAGCTCACGTGTGACAGACGGAGTGCTTTCTTTGGACCTTCTTTCGCACGATCTTTGGAATGTTATACCGAATGGTTTAAATTACACATCACATGTACATTCTGGCATCACTAGGAAAATATAAAACAGCTGATACTAGAGCAAAACCTATGAAAAACATAAAATGTACATCGCAATATTGCTACGGAAATAAATGCAAGCAGACTATAATTATTCATTTAAAAATTGCTTTCAAACATGAATCAACAACCTGACGACCACTTTCGTTATATTTACAGCTCTTCTCTGCATGAGCAAGTGCAAATAAAAGTGTAAGTATATTTTCTTACCAAAATTGAACGGTATTGAGTGGACGAAATATATGTATATATTTTCGTAATTTTAGTGGAACATTGGAAGGAAAAAAACGGCAGCTAGATTATGAAAAACTGCTGGAAGATCCGATCCTACGGTTCTCGGGTCTTTATTCGGAGGAATGCCCAGCCTTCCAAATTCGTTTGCAAGTGTTCAACAAAAATCGCCCATATTGTCTGCCCGTAACTACATCATACAAAGCTTTTACAAAACGTTGGAGTTGGAACGAATGGGTGACTTTACCATTGCAGTTCTCCGACCTACCACGTACTGCTATGTTGGCACTCACCATTCTCGACTGTGCAGGTGCGGGTAAAACAACAGTAATAGGTGGAACATCAATATCACTGTTTGGAAAGAATGGCTTATTCCGTCAAGGTATGTTTGACCTACGAGTATGGTTAGGTGTCGAAGGGGATGGTAGCTTTCCATCCAAAACACCAGGCAAAGGTAAAGAGTCGTCCAAATCTCAGATGCAAAGGTTGGGAAAGCTTGCTAAGAAGCATCGTAATGGACAGATGCATAAAGTTGATTGGTTAGATCGCTTAACATTCCGTGAGATAGAAGTGATAAACGAACGTGAAAAGCGCATGTCTGATTACATGTACCTAATGATCGAGTTTCCGTGTGCCGTGTATCAAGACTATTATAACGTAAGTGGAAATATGGCGGTACTTTTATGAAAATGCTAATTTTTTCCCTGTCTTTAGTACTCCATTATCTATTTTGAGCCAGAAGGAGATAAGAGTCATAAAGTATTAACTAAACCAAAATTAGTGACTATACCTGACTCGGATATTTTGCAGGTATGTATGCTGGCTAGTATTCAGTTAAAAAGTAAAACCACCTAATTTTTTTTTTTGCTACACTGTAAAGTTTTTCCTAATGCTTTTATTTGTCACAAGGCAAATCGAATCAAATTCTTCATTATCAACCCACTTTTACAAATTCTAAAAAAAATATGAATGCAATAATTCTAACTTTGATTTTTAAAGTCAAGACCACAGCTCTTGAAATTTTTGATGCTAAAAAACTAATTGTCCAATATTAATATCTAGGAAAATCTTGTCGAGCGAAAACATCATCGCCTAGCACGTTCGGAGCGCTCGCGAATTTCGGATAGAGAAGCAAAACCCAATGCCATGATTCGTAACCAATTGCACAACATTGTCTACCGTCATCCCCCGACGTACATTCTTAGTAGTGAAGAACAAGATTTACTGTGGAAATACCGATTTTATTTAACCTCGCATCATAAAGCCTTGACGAAGTTTCTTAAATGCATCAACTGGGAGATTACACATGAAGCTATGCAAGCGCTTTCATTACTTTCTAAATGGGACCCTATGGATGTAGAGGATGCTCTAGAGTTACTAAGCCCGGCTTTTACAATACAAGCTGTTCGGTTTTACGCTGTCGGTCGTTTGACCCAAGCTCCCGATGAAGATTTGTTACTATATTTACTACAATTAGTACAGGCTTTAAAGTATGAGAGTTACGATGACATTGCGAATATGTATAAACGGGTATTTCCTGATCACGATATTGTACGTTCACTAGATGGCAACTCAACCATCCTAGATCCAAGTTCAATTTGCTCGGACTCAATTGGGGGTGTCGGTAGCGGTGGTTCAACAGTAATCACAGCATGCAATGTAGGTGTACAGCGTGTCATTGCAGCATCTGCCATTCCTCATACCACAATACAACCGAAAATGCCCACACATCGCACATCCACCTCTGTTGCGCCGAAGTCGCTATTAGAGAAAAAATCTGCAACTTCAGAAACAAAGTTTACACCTACTGCAGTAGCAGCCACGGATATAACTGCATCTGCTGCTGGTGGTGGTGGGGGTGATGCCAGGGATATTATAGGGGATGGAGATAACAACCTTAAAAATAACGCTGCTATCATTGCTGGCATTAGTGAAGCTATAAATACTCTGACTCGAGATTGTCCCCCCTCCAATTGTGTAAAAGATTATAATATCGATCTTTGCACATTTTTAATTCAGCGTGCATGTAAAAATCCAACACTCGCAAATTATTTTTACTGGTATTTGTCAATCGAAGTGGAAGATCACGAATCCCTACGGAAGAAGGATGAAAGAGTACGTGATATGTATGTGATGGTGCAGCGAATGTTTCTTAAGGTCTTAGAATCTGGCAAGTATCAAAGAACTCATAAATTATTTGTATGTATTTGGAAGTTGTTTATTAGAAAATAAAAAAATCTGAACTAATAATTAGACGGCACTCTGCATATATATATACGTAAATAATGTTTCCGCCATGTAGCTGTTAAAGTATTTTCTATTAAAATATTCCAAATCTTTACCAATGCCAAGGCTTATTATATAAGTCCGTGTATAATAATTAATATTTACTTTATAGGCAATTTCAAGTTACGAACCATTTGGCTTAATATAAAGAAACAACAGATATTAATCGATGAGTTAGTTAAATTAGTTAAGATTGTGGCTAAAGAACCAGGAAATCGTAATAAGAAAACCGAAAAGTTCCAGAAACTTCTAACCGAAACCGATACATTTAAAATAAACTTTACGAGCTTCGATCCACGACCATTTCCTTTGGATCCGGAAATTCACATAACAAAAATTGTACCATCAAAAACGTCACTTTTCAAAAGTGCCCTTATGCCAGCCAAGTGAGTTATAACAATCATTATAATATATGGACATGTGAATGTACATATATACATTAATTTTACAATTTTATAGATTAACTTTTGTCACGACCATGAGCAAACATGAGTATGTTGCAATTTTTAAACATGGTGATGACCTCCGACAAGATCAACTAATTCTGCAGATGATTACCCTAATGGATAAATTGCTGCGACGTGAGAATCTCGATCTGAAACTAACTCCATACAAGGTGCTGGCCACCAGCTCGAAGCATGGACTTTTACAGTACATCGATTCATACACTGTGGCCGATGTGTTGGCGCGCGAAGGCAGCATACACAACTTTTTCCGCAAGCATAACCCATGTGAAAGTGGACCGTACGGTATATCTGCAGAAACTATGGATACCTACATTAAAAGTTGTGCGGGCTACTGTGTGATCACATATCTACTAGGTAATTAATTGAATCGATCAGATACAAAAATTCATTTCTTATTTTGCTTCTCGTTGTCTAACAATATATAACTTCATATCTATTTATGGTTAACGATCATATGTGTACGTAGGTGTTGGCGATCGTCACTTGGATAATTTGCTTCTGACAACGAATGGTAAACTGTTCCACATCGATTTCGGTTATATATTGGGTCGTGATCCAAAGCCTATGCCGCCACCCATGAAATTGAGTAAAGAGATGGTGGAGGCCATGGGCGGCGTTAGCTCCGAACATCATCACGAGTTTCGAAAACAATGTTATACTGCATATTTGCATTTGCGTCGGCATGCAAATGTTGTGCTCAATCTTTTTGGCCTAATGATAGACGCGTCCGTTCCGGATATCGCTCTCGAGCCGGATAAGGCTGTGAAAAAGGTTGAGGAAAACTTGCAGTTGGGTCTAACAGATGAAGAGGCAGTACAACATTTACAAGGATTACTCGACGTATCGATAACCGCAGTTATGCCTGCTCTAGTCGAACAAATACATAAATTAGCTCAGTATTGGCGAAAGTAAAAGCCATTTCCGGCTATGCATGTACGTGAATGAAGGCTGTAGATGATTGATGGGCTAATAGATACATATGTATACATATTGAGGTATAAGCTCCCTCATTATAAGAGATAAAAATTTCACCATTTTAGAGTATTCATATTTTTAGTGCGTAACGTTTTATTTAGATAAATTTAAAAATAGATTTATTATATATTATTATTACTATTAGTTATATAAATACACATACAATTATACATATTAATATGTTTAAATAAAAATATTGACTAAAACAACTATTAGCTGTTGTTGGTAAATATTTCTGTATATATATATATAGACAGACATTTATGAAGGATTTGTTCGTCGCTTTAGCTTTAAATGACATGTATTTTGGGAAAATTACCAAATACTAGTGCGATCTTTGATTTGCTAAGGCAAGGTTCAGCAAACTATCGGTTCAACAATATCCGACAGACTCTTTGGCGTTGTCAGCCCCGCAATGTTACTATCTAGTCATTGGAAACTATTCACCACTCATAGTCAATCTGCCTTGCGAGACCCAATTAAACTGTCACAATCAGAAATTGAACAATGTAGCAAACTCAACACCTACTTATCATGAGCCAACATATTTAGCGTATGTTATGCGTATCTAACACCCTTCTAGAAGTATAATATGTATTTGGGTGGCTTGACTCTCCGCTAGGTGACCACTAGACCACTGCAATCGGCAATATACTAGTTATTAAATAGGATCTACACCTTATTCTTGTCCATGGGTGTATGTTGGGATTGTGGGGTGTTGCAAAAATAAAAACAACGTTTTAATTATTAAAAAAGTTTTTATTTACTTTTAATTTATTTCAGTTTTTGTGTACTGGGTCGCAATGAGATAGATCTGGTTATAGAAAAGTTTCATTAATATTAAAGGTTCAATTCTTAATAAACACTAGAATGCCAAAACATTTTGTAAATGGGCAAATTGATGCATTCACTGAACGTTATCCTAAATAAGACCCATTTTGTATATTATTGACTATACGAGTACACTACAAAGCTAAAAAAAATATATTTTTGCTTACATATTGGTAATCGTTGTTTTCTCATTTTACAACCATTTGGAAAAATTGCAAATTTTTCTAATTAATACCTATAATTAATTCATAATTCTCATCTGAACACTCTTTGTTGCTAAAGCATATGCAATGAAATGACATTCAACAAATGATTTACAATAACCAAAATTGGACTAAGTGCTGAAGAGATGGTAGAGCCGAGTGTATGAGTATCTGTGTAAAAGGATTTAGTTATCGAAACTTATCTGTCGCTTCACTTTTGTTGAGGCCGAGTATAACAGTTTTGAATCCGCTGAGGAAATATTCGTTGTATGCAATTGCGCTTTTGCCGCTGAAGTTCTACACATCGTGACTGGAACACTCGATATATTATTGCTCGCTTTTAGCTGATTATTGTTATGATAGTTGTTGTTATTATTATGCGCATATGGACTCACATTGCGTTGATCCTTGCCCGTGAAATTCTTTTGTGCTGAACGACGTTGTTCGGATTCGAAATTGACATTCTCACGCAAAGCTAAGCCACACATATTATTTTTCGATGAACTGTTCTGCAGTGATGAGTTCGATTGGATAGGCATTTTTTTGTTAGATGAAAACTGTTTGGTGGAGCCACTTTCTGTAAGTGATTGCGATTGAGAGGTGAATGTGGAGGAGAGAGCAAACTCGTTGATGCCGCTGATTCGGAAGGAGTCCAACGACGGTTCTGTTGAAAATATGTTTGAAATAGAGGATGAACGCATTGAGCTTTGACTAAATGAATTAATTTGATCCTCATGCAGCTGCTGTTTTTGTGAGTCTTTGAACCGTTGGTACTCCTCCGGTCCAATATAGCCACTTAGACGACTGCTGGATTCATTTTTTTCACGCACAATTTTCGCTTTTGCGTGGATATAAATGTCATCCGCACAACGACCACTAATCACATAGTGCACATAACGCTTAGCCAAGCTGTCAAAGGAACATAAAATTCAAAATTTACATTTGCACTAGATACAGCTACCAAATGGACTTACCGCAGCAAGGTTTCACTGTTGCTAGTACTGCTTTTTTGGGAAAATTCCTGAAAAATGCGCCGCACAACTCTGGCTAATACTGCTGCAAACTGTTTGAAGCTTTCATGATTCGTGGTAATCTTCTTCTCCTGCAAAGCTTGCGACACGGCCCACAATAATTTCTGGAATCAATAAAAATAAATAAGAAGAATGAAGATTAGCAAAACAAACAAGATATATATAATTTACCTTTCGCTGATTTTCGGTTAAGCTATTTGATTGTGCTACCATTTCCGAGTGTGCACGTTGTATTTTACTAGCGCCAATTGTGGGGGCAGCGGACGATAAATCCTTTGCACTACCGCTGAGACCTAGATTTTTTATCAGCACTAAATCGACATTGGAAACAGCAGTGCTTGTCACGGTGGCAGTGGTCGTTGTTGCTGAGGAACCAGTCCCGATACAAAAGCTTTGGCTCTTGATTTTCAAAGCACGTGGTGTTAAGTTTTCAGCGCCGCCACGAAACAGTTTGTTACTTTGTGATGGTAGGTCAGCTGAATCCCCAGTGTCATCGTCGTCTATTGCTGAGCGTTTGCGCTTTAATACAGAATCAAACTCATTCACAGACAAACGACTTTCCTTAGCTGAATACAATTGGAAGCTAGGCTTCCGGTCAAGATTCAGTTGGTAATTTGTATTGGATAATATATTTGTGTTATCTGTTTTTTTGTCTGGAGAGAAGAGTGCACGCTTTGATTTTTCAACACGATTTGCTATTTCCGGCTTAATAGTAGGGATGAGTCTTTGAACGGGTGGCTTGTAGTCCACTTGCTTAGGGGGACTTTGAAACAAAGCACGTTTCGAAGCTTCGCGCGATGGTCCAGGTTTGATGAGATCACAGCGAAAAAGTCTTTTACGAGCTGAAGAGGACGGTGTTTTGCGAGCTTGATGGAAATGATTAATTAAAATGATTTTAATTATGATTTTGCAACGTGAATAGCTTACCTTTCTTTTTGCTGCCAGGAGTCATACGTTTAGGAGTATTTTTGCGGCGATGTTTATTTTTCCTACATAAATAGCAAATAGAAATTAATGATAACTACATTCATTCAGAAGTATAATAAAAATGCACCTACTTTTGAACATCTACCAAGATCTGTGGACCACGCACATTGTTCGACTTCTGGGTAGCCAATTGGGCTGAGGAGAAAGTTGCACGGCGTCTGGCTAAATGACTTAATCGGTTTCCAGGAGACTGTGTGAGTAATCTTAAACAGATATTAAGTTTATTCAATAAATGTAGATACTCATACAAGATTTTTATAATTTTATTCTTACTTCATTCGCGCATTGCGCTTTTTCGCACTTGATGGTGAATTCCGATATGATGAGGCGGTTTCTGCGCCAATGAAACGTTCAATTACCGAGAGGGCCAAATACTCATTGCTTTCAGAAGCTTTGCACAGGTTAAAACTGAAATTCACATAAGAATTAGAGAAAACACATGCAAAGCACTGTATCTTTAGACGAGCACATACCAAAGGCCATGTTGTCTAACACCAAGCACCTGTCGCCAGCCCATTTCTTTAGCTTCGTTCATTGGATGAGAGGGCTTAAAAAGACTTGTAGAGGTGTTGGGAGAGCTACAAGCGCCTGCACTATTGGAAGAGGTATCAATATCGACAGTAAAGTCTAAAATATCTTGTTTTCGGTTGAGCACCTCGCTAAACATATCCAACTGTGGTATGGTTAGAGAGGGAGGTGGTGGTAATCCAGCCAGACACTTTCGAATCCGACGTAGGAGTTCTTTTTCTCGACGGCAGTTATCTCGAAACAAGCTGTGTTTATCTGCGCGTAGCTGGTGCTCAGGTGCTTGTGTATTTGTTTCACACGATTGATTGTCAGGCAAGCTACACTCGATTTGACAATTGAACGATTTATTGAAACTTGTGTCGGTATATTCCTCAACTATTTTTTCTCTTTCCTCTTCTTTATAAGCTGTTAACTCAGTTTGCTCTTGATTCTCAATTACTATATCCTCCGCTACTACGGTATCGTCTACGTTATCTGTGGTCTCAACATACTCAATTAGTTCTTCCGCCGAGAAACAATTTTCATCCTTGCTTGCCTGGATGACGTCATTGTCTTCATCTTCTTCGTCATCGCAAAATATGTCTGGAGATTTTTCGTTTCTATACTTTTTGAGAACAAAAGATTGTTTATTTAATAGGTTTTGCATCTCAATAGTTGCTTCATTTTCGATTTCAGTTGATGGTGTAAGACTTTTGATTTTTCCATTGAAAGACAGCTCGTAGGAAAGCCGAAGCTCCTTCGATTCTTTGCTAAGGCCAAGCAAATAATCTACACCATTTTCTTGCGAATTTTCATCAGCTGTAGGTACTGGGTATTCCTTCGGCAACCGTATATCAACGGCGTTGCAACTGTTTTCTTCAACAATCATATCGTAAAACCTCAATACTGTGTTGCTTTTGGCAGGTAGTAAAGGTTTTTCCAAGGAATTCGATAAATGAGAAGAAGAATGAAAAAATTCTCTTTGCAATTTGCCATATGGACTTTCCGTAAAACCCTTGAATGGGGATTCTAAACTGCTGGGTTTACAAATAATATTTTCATTGTTTATAGATGCTGTTTGCTCCTCACATATTTCCGGTAGAGAAGTAGACATTGTTGGTATGAGAGGAATTTTATTATCTTGACTTGATATCAAATAATTGCCGTCTGCTTGTATTACAACTTCAGTTTCATATGATGGCGGTTTTAGTACATATTGCAAATGCATACTTCCGTCATATACTGAGCTGTACTCGAGAGGCTCGCTGAGTGACGACTATAAGAATGATAAATAATATAAAGAAATTTTTAGGAGTATTGAAAAACTCTTACATTATACAATTAAAAATTTATAGCATGCAAAAATTCATTATACATTCTACAATAGTTGCAAATTACATTACAGGACTAAAGTAAAGCATTAAGGAGAAATAACTTACACCACTAGATGGTTCAGATTCATAGCTATTGTTAATTTTGTTGCGTTTTTGTGTACTCATACTTGTAAAAAAATTGCACGCCCCGCCTGTGGTATCACCTGTAGTAAGGAAAGCCTTGTTTTAATCTACATAGATTGCAATAGTCGTTCTATAAATAACTACACTACAATAGAAAAAGACCAATCATTACGTAGGTATGCTATAGTTTTTCAGAAAATCTGCAATGCAAATCAGGAAGCAAAAACAGTTAAAGAATAGTTAATCTATTTTATTATTTACCTATTTGAATAATGCCTTTAATTATTTGTATATATTACATATACTTAATGTATATATTTGTATGCACTCAGCCAGATGTTCACATTAATCAGCTAAAAAAAAACACCCAAAGCGTAATGGAAAGCGCGCGCCTGTTATGTTGCCGCCAACTTTCCTTTCCACAAACAGGTTATTAATGAGCATGCACCGATTAATTAAATAGATAATTCCAGATGAGAGTTTTAACCTTACTTCACTAAAACTAAAAGAACACTATCAAATCTATTGCTTTATACTTTTTATCACGAAATATTCTCTAAATATCCTAGAATGTGTTAAACGTAACTCTGCTGTGGTGGCCTATCGGCGGTACACAGAGTTGCATTACAACATAACTGTCAAATGCATGAAGTATAGAGTGAAGAGCAATTTATCGAAGCTTGACAATCCGGAATTTGTCAACCCACTAATACAGCGTTTCCACGATAGCCCAATTACGTGTTTCGCTACCTTAATCGTAGTTCGCACTAAAAATACATGTCGATTTATTTAATTCCTAATGCGTCATACGAATTTTCGTGAGCGAATTACAGTAAATGTGAGTAATTCGTTTTCAATTGCCATGTGAACTTATCGAAACCAGCTGACAAATCAAAACAAAAGAGAGGAGAATCATAAAAGAAGACATTAACCCACAAACATTTATTTGGATTTGCCTCATTCGTAATTGAGAGAGCGAAATACGGAATTGGGAAGTCGTGGAAATTCCGTATAACGAAAGAGAATGCATATTAAAGAGGAGACTGGGGTGTGCCGATTGCGATTTGTTCTGTACTATTTGACCTCTGTACAATATTACCAAGAGACATATATAAAAGAAATAGTAGCAAAAACATTTATTTTTAGATATATTAAAAAAGCAAAGGAAAAATTGCGAGTGTAAAATGAAGCGGAATAGAAAAAAACAAATAAAAAATAATTAAAGGCCGAAAAAATTGTTTGAAGAAAGTCTATGTGTAAACGCGAATGGCGACACAAAAAGATAATTATGATTATTAGCGACAAAAGTATCCTCATGTAAACTCAATCTTATTATACCCTACTTTCCGTTTTGCTTCGCGGTGAACTTCTTTCCACTAATTTTGATTGCTGAGATACATACGATAACTCTGTTTCGTCTCTAACTCATTATTTACATATTTTGTTTATACGAGTTTTATATAAAATAGGTCTTTAAAACGGTCCACTTGAGCCCATATTTTTAATCTGATTACAAATATATCAAGATTTTTGGACCCAGCTTTATGGGTTTATTAACCCGGCCATATTTAATATATTATATAAACATGCCGCTTACTGCTGAAAATGCCGCTCTACAGATTCAGGTAAAAATTATTTATGCACAGTAAATAAAAAATTCATATATACGAATTTTGTTACCTTAAGGATCGCTTAAAGGATTTACAGCGACTTATTCACCAAATTGATGAAGAACGAAGACGCTCTGAGGCTAATGTAAATAGTATACTTCGTGCGCAGCAATCAAACTTTCCACCACAGAAGTTGAAAACATTATACAAGACTGGTCTACAAGATGCTTCCCATGAGGAGGCTACAATACGAGGAGCATTAGAAAAAATACAGGAGATTCGAAACATTCGAAACGAACGTCGAGTTGCGGCACGCAATGCTGGGAATAAAGAAGCCATACGTCGTGGTGCATTAATGAAAATGGTTCAAATTTCTGCACAAACACTGCCGCTTTTTGTAAGTAAACCAGGTGAGAAAGTACCTCCGCTATGTGGAGCTACTCCAGCTGAGAGTAATTATATTGCCAAAGTTGGTGATAATGTCGCAGCTTTAGTCAAGGGCGTTGAAGATGATGAGAACTGGATATTAGCGGAAGTTGTGCAATTTCTGCATCGTCAAAACAAGTACGATGTTATTGATATTGATGAAGAGCAGAAAGACCGTCATGTATTGAGTAAAAGAAAGATTATACCACTACCGCTGATGAGAGCGAATCCAGAAACCGATGGTCATGCATTATTTCAAAAAGATACCGTTGGTATGTAATACAAGATTTATACCTTTAACATGGGTTGTAAATTTGTTCATTATTTTTAGTTATGGCACTTTATCCACAAACTACCTGCTTTTATAAAGCTATTATTCATCGTTTGCCGCAAACGGCAACAGAGGACTATTTGGTATTATTTGAAGACTCGTCTTGCACAAACGGATACGCTGATCCGTTACCGGTTGCCCAGAGATATGTTATTGCATACAAACCAACAAAAAAGAGTGGTGGAGGCGGCAGCGGAAGTGTTTCTTCAGCTTAAGTTATTTAAAAAAACAATGTTGACATACTTTTAATTTGTATCTTATTTAAAACTATACCTTAGATCTATAATAAAAATACAATTTAACTATTAATCATCTTCGTCCTCGTTATCCGAATCATCTTGGTCCATTTCTTCGTCTTCTACCTCATCGCCTTGCCCGCTGTCCGTTTTATCATCGTCATCATTAATATTATCTTCAACGTGTAGTTCAAAGCCAGTGTCTTTCGTCCAAGAACACTTAATGGTTAGTTGAAATCTTGCCATAGGTTTAGCAATTAACTTCAATATGCGCGCCTGTTCCGGTGTTAGAGTCTTGCCTTCTTCACATACTGTGTAGTCGCTATACAATGTTACAACCCCTTTTTGCAATTTCGTTGGCATTCCAAGGGATCGTAAATGTGGCTCTATAGAATGTGTGAACTCTTCCAGAGGGCCTGCCGGAAGTACTACAGTTTCTGTAGCTTTGAAACCACTACGTGCGTATTCAATAGCCCAATAGTTTTGCGCCCATTCTAAAACCTCTTCCTTTGATTTTTCTGTGAACAGTAGACCAACCTGTCCCGTCAGTCGCTTCGAGAGCTAATTAATATATTTTCATTACTTATATGGCGGTTTTAATATAAAACGATTTTACCTTATGCAAGTCCACTTCTACTTCCTCCGCTTTGCTGCGTCCTAAACCAATTTGCATAATTCGGTTTTTACCAAAGAAAAAACGAGAATTTGATTTCCACTCCTGGCGAAGGTCTTTTAGAAGACTGTTTCGCATATTCTGCACTTGAAAAACAAAAATATTTGGATATTTTTCAACACAATGGCGTATATCCTCAATAATTTTCTGTTTCCATGCCAGTCCCTTTCGATCCGTTTTAGTCAACGAAACTAATTTCAGGATAAATTGATTAGATTGGCATAAATTGTTGACCACAGATATTTTATGAATACATACTCTTTTTGTCTCTCTTTGAGCGTGGCATTTCACAATGATTTTATTTAAATGAAACACAAGTTAATTTCCAATAACTTACGTTTTTTATAAAGATCAAGTAGCTACTTCACACGTGCAGTTTGTTTCTGGTTAAAACATATCGGTATGCATTCATGAATCTGACGTATGTTATCGATAAAATATTTCACTCATTTTAACGGAATTAAAGTTTAATCTTTAAATTAACCCCCAGTTTACGAGCTCACATGAACAAGAGAATAAGAGTTTTGGTATTTAATAGTTTATTAAATAAATGATATATACAACATGGCTTTATAAGGTTTGGAAAAATATTAATATACATAAGTACATGTAATTGACTGTGGTGGGATTTAACTATAATTTATTTTGAGTGCAAATGGATAACGAGAGTTAGTCTTAAAAAATTGGTGTATTTATGTTCTAAGAATGTAAGCATGATAACAATTTCAATTTTTAATTTTTTTTTTTGTTAATTTTATATAAAAACATTTTTACATTTTATATCAGTGTAAGCTTTATTTTATGCAGAGTACACACGATACAGCCAGTTATGCAGCAAAGCGATGCTGTACCAGAGAACTTATAATAACGAGAAGGTTGAATTGACTTTTGGTTAGATGCTCGATTGAAATTCCTGCAGAGCTAGAATGTCTCGTGAAAGGAATTCCCCACTCTGTTAAAATTTGACTGTAAACTAACAGAATTGGTAGTTTAGCATAAAGAAAAACTGTTATTGACGGCAACCGAAATAAAACCAATAGAAATATAATAGAAATTCAATGAAAATCAAATGATTAATTAATTTTTCCTTTTCAATATGGTGTTTTGCTATCATTTAGTTAAAAAATTAAAAAAAAGGAAAAAATGTTAATGTTTCAACCCGCCATCCACACGCTATTTCTTCGCGAAGATGACAAAATTTACAAAAATCAGAATTCAGGGTCGCGATGGATTTTTTGCTAAAAAAAAAAAGAGAAATCATATTCAATTATTTTTTATAGGTTAATGTCTTCCTTTGAGTTGTCAATTTTAAGGGTGATAAGCAGAAATTAATATAATAACGTTTACTTCACAAAAACTTATTAACATACTCTTTTTAAGTAATATACGCAGTATTGCATACACGCGTGAACACTGTGCAAATCAGCGAAGTCGATTTTAGATCAAGTGCGCGCGGGAAGAACAAATCTTTCGTACATTTATTAAATAATAAGAAGAAATACCAATGTCCTATTTCTTTGATTCGGAATAAGTGCAGAATATGCCACGCAGTTGGTATCGCGTGACGCAAGTTCAAACTCCTATCGAAGGAGCCAATATCATTTATTTCAAATAATTAATTTTTATTTATTTTATTAAATATTTTTCATATTAAAAAAAAAAAAAAAATTCATAATTTTTTTAATTTCTTAACTAAATACTAACAAAGCACCATATGGAAGAGAAAAAAATAATGAATCATTTGATTTTCATTAAATTCCTCCTATGTTTCTATTGGTTTTACTTCAGTTGTCATCAATAACTGTTCCTTTCCCGAGGCTTTCTAGCTCTGTAGAAACTTCAATCGAGCATCGAACCGAGAGTCCATTGCACCTTCTCGGCTTTATAAGTTCTCTGGGTTGGATTGTATGTAGTAAAGGACCAACATGTTGTGTAGTTACTTCCTAGCACGATGTATCGTGTGTACTTTGCATTAAAATATTCTTTAATTTGTAATAGATTGAAGTAACCAGGGAGGCGTATAAAAGTAGTAGCCGATGCGATTTTGTCTAAGTAGTTTGAAAATTTTTAAGAATTGTTCGCTTATTATTCTTATTTAATCTTAATTAAAAACGCAGCTGTGTTTTTATATGAACGCAGAGAATGGCATATTTTACGTTTTATTCCATTATATTAGTATGCAATACAATTTAAAATTTCAATTGTAGAAGCTTACAACCCTGTTTTCCCATCCCTGTTTCAGATTTGTCATCGATTCGTCAACGCGTGGGAAAAGAAATCGGTTTGTCTGTCGCAATTGGAAAAATTGAAATACATAAATTGTAAATTAAATTGTTGGTGAATTAACTAATCTAGTGGTAAGTAGAGAATTGTATTAAATTTGCAACAATATAATATAAAATCATATTAATGTCGTATTTGAATATGAAGGTAGTGTGTTAAAAGATTGCGAGAAAGTGCGGTTTTTTTTTTAGCTTGAAATAGCAGGTGGAGCTGGCAAGTATGCCGTTAAAAATATACAAAAGGTTAATATGATTTTATCTTGAAATTATGTACTTAGACTATATAAAAAAAAAAGAAATTGTTGCAAATTTGCAATTGTTGCTAGAAACAGTACTTTTAGGGAAGGCGGGAATGAACTTGTAAAGAAACACTTTCTTAATTGGAGTCTTCAGTTATGCGATATGTATTGCATCGTGGTTATTTGACTGCGACGCAGCTAACCATGAAGTCTGGATGACGTAATGGGCTAAATCGGCTCGACACAGAGTGCTCATGTCGCAATAAAAATGCAGTGATAATTGAAAACAGGGTTGATTATAACAAAAATTAGGTATTTAAACAATGCCGAAAAACCAAATATCGTCGCAAAACATGTTGAAACTGCCATCTCAAAAAAAGGTGTAAATTTTAAACAAATGAAAGAAACAATATTAAAATACTAACAAACTTACAGAATTTGTTTGACCGTTCTTTTAAATTGTGCATTTTGGTGTTGATCGTTTCGATGAATTTGTGTTCGCAAAAATACAGCGTTAGAAAAACGTTACACGTTCAGTTTGTAAAATTAATTTCTCCAGGAAAAATATGTCATTAGCTATTGAAAGCGAAAAAATTATTCATATTAATCCGCTCTTAAAACTGAGAAATGTTGGACTTGTTGATTGTTTAGGGATACCATGAAAAATCTTGGGTGAATTTTCAACCACTTTAATAGATGTAACGATTTCAAATGCCTTCTAAATTATTTCTTATTCTAAGAAGGTTCGGTTGAGTCCTTAATGAGTATGTTGAGGAAAGCCGAATTACAAAACCAGAAATTTCTCATAAAATCTATAAGGCTAATCGAAAATTTGTGCAAAAAGTGATATTTTAAGTAATTTTTTCAAACAACGTTAATATTATATCAAGATCAAAAATTGAAATGTTACAAAATATTATCAAATAGAGGAATGAAACATTGGACAAATTTTTATATATTTGTATTAATTCTTATCACATCTCTGCGAGTAATATGGAAAATAGGTATATTTTTTTTTTGGAAAAAAGAAAAAGAAAGATGAGCTAGAGTAGGAGTAAAATCTGGACCCTTTAGTAGCGCTTTCAAAATATGGAGTTTCGACCAAAACAAAATAACCAATTTCATATAATCAAATGTATCGCACTATCATTTTTTGGAAATATGTACTTACATTCGAAAAATAATATCGAATATAAATTACCAAAATCTGTAAAAATTATTTTGATTTGGAAGCATAACAAGTCTTAAATATTAAATAATGTACGTACATTCAGATCTTTTTATTTTACATAAATCGACCAAGAGCATGCTTGTAAATATTTTAAAATCATGTCAAAGTTTATAAAAAAAATTATTCCTAGAGCTTGCAAAAGTTAAAGCTAAGTGCTATTTTTTAGCTTCTTAATATCTACCGAATTTTTTTTAAATTGTAATTTACACATTTATTGTATGTAAATATCCTAAATTATACATATATACATATGTGGATAATTTCTTTTTATTAATATTATTTTTTTGTCGTTTTTTACATAACATTGAAACGTGTTTGCATCTCAATACATTAAGATGTAGTGTTATGAATTTGCGATTATTTTCAAAAGTTTGATTTATTAACATTAGAGTAAAAAATAATGTTGAAATATAAGCATCCAATCATTTGGTGGCAATACCACCGCCACTATATAGTCATTGTCTCTTTTACGCTCCGCACACGCGCACTACGTAATCTATTCTCGCGAGAAGTTGGATAGTTTTCTTTTTGGCCATAGCCACGGCATAGTGGTTTCCATCGTCTGTATGTGATTGTCGTCGCTTTCAGTCGTTCGTTCTCGTCGTCGTCGTTGTAGTCGTTGTCGTCATTTCAATTGAAGCAAAAGTAAGTAAAATATAATTTTTACCTACTTAAAAACTAAATGAGGAAATGTGGAGAAGAAAAAAATTAAAGTGAAAGACGTTGTTATGTTAAAATGTAAAGAACGTAATTAATCTAATATATTGGAATTCATATCAATTGTGTAGTTCTTCGTGTGTGTATGTATGTATGTATATGTGTATGTGTGTATGTATGTATCAGCAAGTGATGATGGAACAGCTTTGAAATCAACGATTTTGCTTAAATTGTGGAATTTGCAGTGTTGGTTAGCATGGTAATAATTGAAAATATATCCGATATTGGAAATATATTGGAATTATTTCTTGGAATTTCTACAGCTATAGATTTTCTCGTATGATAAATGTGGTGCGGCTACACATTTTTCATACAATTTTATACCTACATATGTAGGCATATGTGTGCTTGTATGTATGCACATTTAACTCGATCGATAAAAATACTACGCAAAAAGAACTGACGGTCGCGGCGAGTAGAGCAGCAGCGCAGCAATTTTATTAACAAAACAACAACAACGACATCATGCAAAGTAAAAACAGCAGCACAACAGTCTGAGCGACAGAGCCCATATAATAGGCAACTAAAATAAATAAGTGTCCATGTGTATGTGTGGAATTTCTCGCTCGTCGAGTGTTCGTCGCTCGTTAACACAATCAACCAAGTTGGGGGGCAGTAACATACATTTGGCAACCAAGGCGGTGGCCATTGGCGGTCGTGGTCGCCTGGTTTGCGATTCTACTTGGTGCCTCATTTTCTTCGCCAACTTTGGTTGGTTATCGAGCTAACCATATTTGCAGCCAATTTGACTTTTTTTTTTTTTACAAATTCCAATCGCGAGCAAAATACCGATAGTTATCTGGCGCATCGAGCATTATGTCCGAGACACAACCAAACTGGCAGAACTGCTCTGAGTGTCCTATCCATTAAAAAACTGTTCATACGATTTGAAATTTATGCTTGCGGGTATCTCAAAACAAAAATTGTCCAATCAATCGTTGGAACAAAGTGAATCAACAAAACGCTCTAGCGCAGGCGTCGTCAACGATGAAGGAATTCCGAACATTCTGTCTAAAAA